TCTCTATCTCTATCTATCTCTCTCTCTTTGTTCCACACACATTCAGTGTAAACACACCTGTTTCTAACCAGATTAAAGAGCTGCACATGTAAGCCGGACTCACTTTGAGTTTCCTTGTAATCTAAACTGGTTTGGCTCCTTCTGTTTTGATACTACACTCAGTGGCAGTCAGCTGCTTCTTTCCTCCCCAACACAGTTTAAGTGTAATGTGATTCCTAATTGATTCCTCTACGGAGGTCAGGAGACAGGGTCACAGCTGGAAGACAATCTCCCTCAAGGACACCCATACTGGATGAGCATATGTGCTCACCGAGCAGCTGGAAAACGAAGGCAGTGTGGAACTGTAGACTGCAGTTTCTGTAGCAGCCACTTGAGGTTGGCTCTAAAAGTGAGTACATTTCCACACATGCCCATGTTTAACCTCCTAGGACCTGGCGTCCCCATATGTGGACATCACATTTTGGGTTATTTAGCCCAAAATACTCACTTTTGCTCTACAAGGGCCTGATATCCACTTACGAGGACATTACTGCCACTGATCTATAGAAATTTTAAACGAATGTCCTCATATGTGGCTCTAATTTATCTTAGAAACAAAAATCAGGTTAAAAAGAAAATATCTGGTAATTCTTTGTTTTTACATTCATCGGGTCCCAAATAGAGAAATTAAAAATGCATGCCGTGGAAGAGCTCGGGTCTTAGGAGGTTAAATACCCATCTTAGCAATATTAAAAAGCACATTTACAGCTGGTTATAAAATATGGGTTTGGCCTAATGGTGTGTAGATGTTTTTAAAACCCATCCCTCTAGACACTTGAGTTGTGAGAGTGGTTGGTTTTGGATTACAGGTGTCTTGATCCAGGCAGGTGTAGGTGGCAGCTCTCTGCTAGGCTTCCTCGAACCACTCGACCATTCTGTGGTTCCTTTTAGAGCTTGTTAGATGCTGTTGTCACTTTTATGCTTCAGTTTTTGTGAGTGAAATTGTAATATTTCATTGCTTGAGTGTGCCGTCATAGGTATAATGCAACTAACCATAATAGCTTTACTTGGGAACTTGGCATGCAACCCTCTCGTTCAAATGCTATTCCAAAAAACTGACATGGTATGCAGAGGCTTCAAAATGCAGAGTCTTAAACAAATGTTTATCCTCATGGTGTCACCGTATTTCAAGAGAAAGGGAGAGCAAGGCAGGGCAGCATCATAAGGGGAAGCGTAACAGCTGACTCAGGAGAGAGGAATGCAGGAACAATAACTCAACAAGAAGCAGGAGAGAGCAGAAAACAGGTGAAAACAATCAGCTGAACTTAAAATTGGAAAATGTTTTCATTTAATCAGCAAAGATTTTGATGAGAAAGTGTCGCTGCCATCTCCTGCTTTAGTTATAAAGTATGTTTAATGTAGCTTCTGATGTGTGGTAGCTGGTATGACATGGGTTAGATGTTGATAAAATACCTGAAATAAATCTCCTATTAAAGATTCCAGCTCTTCTTGCGCTCTGGAATTTTACTTTAAGCCACTTTTAATTGGCATTTTGGTTTAAATTATGTCGACAAGCAAAAATCAGTTCAAATTGCAAATTATTATTTATGTGATTGGAAAAAAAATTAAATATATCAAAATAAAACTTGGTTGTTGTTTCTCTGCATTGCTTATATAGTTCAGAGTAGGTTAACCCTTTAAAACCTACCATAGAACCAAGTCCACCAGAGCTTATATTATATTTTTACATGCTGTGGAGCCATTTTTGGGAGCATTTCAAGTTGCTATACATCAATACAACCATTATAGCCCAAATTTTAATAATATGTATGCATTAAGTGCATAGTAATTACATTAATTGCAATAAACTACAAAAAAATGGAAAGTTTTAACATATATTTCTAGTTAGAGAAATTTAAGAGGCTTATCCCTCAAAACTGTAAATACAAAAAAGTTGCACAAAATAGTTTCCCACCACAAGAAATTTATTTTGAGTGTCTTCATGGTTTTATTTTTGAAATACACCAATTTTTATATACTGCAGGAAAAATGAAAATAAATATTACAATGCAAATTTGCAAAAAAGCAGCATATGCATCAAAATAAACTATTTCCAGCAGTGCAATATGAGTCCTAAGCATCCCAGAAACGACACAGAAAGTCATAAAGTCAAACATAACTTTTAAAAACACCAGTATAGGCTCATGAGGCCCTGATGGTAAAAAACTACATTTCCGCGAAAATGACGTCACTTCCGGTTTCGGGCAGGACATGGCGGACATGCGATAGTTCACGCTGATGGACATAGGAAGTGTTATGAACAGCTGATCGGATCGGCAAAGCGTGTTTCTGGAATATTATGTTTTTGTTGCTGCAAGCGCTTTTTATGCAGTTTTTCCAAAGATATATGTGGAAGGAAACTGTGACCGAGGACAAGCTGATGGCATAAGATGTAAGTACAACTCCTCTGATTTCATATGCAAAAAAATTTATTGTGCTAGCTTACGTGGTTGCAGTGCTACCGGGATTTTAAAAATAGTTACGTGCCTGCTCCTACCGGCTTTAAAGGGTTAAGAACCTATCCCAACTCTAACAGGGCAAGAGGCTGAGTACATCCTGACAAGTAGCCAGTCCATCAGACGGCTGTCATGTCAGTTATTGACCTGCTGAAATTTGGATAGATACGAATGTTGAACTCTATAAATGCTAAACACGGTACTCCCACTGTGTTGTAGATGGTAACCTAGCTCTCATCATCACTGGTGAATGAGCCTCGGCATAAAAGTGGGATTCCTTTGAAAGAGAAGTGGAGGTTCATTAAAATTCCCATACAAGTACATTTTTCAGGACTATGTCAGTGGCATTTACAAATAGCAGCCATTGTTGACGTGGTTCAGCAGTGTACCAGGAGGATTTGAAAGTTATGTTTCCTGGGCGGAATTGCGTAACTTTATAATCACATCTCATACGCTGCCATTAGCTGTGTTTCTGGTCACAGGGTAGATATTAATTCAATATTTAACTGTCCTTCAGTTCTTCTTCTAATCTCTGCCAACTCCCAGTGAGAATATCTGTCTTATCAGCTGCTGAAGCTCCCTCTGTATTCATCAGCTTGATCCTGATGTACAGCGCTTTTTTGTTTTTTCCTAAAAAAGCCTCGAGTGGCAATTTGAATGAGTTAACACGACTCGCAGCGTCTTTGAAATCTTGTTCACGTTGCTGTTGTACAAGCTTTAACCTGTCACTGGGTGAAAGTTGGTCTGAATGATGAATTAGTTTTGTGCAGCATAGCACAGATTGACCACTATCTATTTGCAGCTGTCAAGATGTACAGTCACCTTAATTAAAAATTCAGCATTCGATTGATGAAGCAATCAACCACGAGACACGTGTGGCAAGCAGTCAATTGGGCAGGGTGTTCATGCGTGGGTGTGTGCTGTAGAAAGCGGTGTGCATTGAAGACAATGAGCTGTAGTCACAATGAGGGGAACGAGTTGGTGCCGGGTGTTCGGCTCTACACGAGCAGAGTGGGCGGTTTGATTTTCCTCTGTCAGAATGGCAGTTAGCAGATGAGAAAACACCAACAAGACGCAGCCTCGTTTTCACCAACTCTTCTCTCTTTCACGCTCTCGTTCGTCTTCTCCTCTTCTATTATCTTTTTCCCCTCCCCCGTCTTGTTTTCTCTACTCCGTTGTCTTTTTACCAGTCAGGGTTAACAAG